TATCATAATCATAGGGGATAAATGTGAAGACTTGAACCACTTGTTAAAAGAACTCAATGCAAGTCAGAAGCATATTTCTCTTACGTGCGAGGAAGAGAAGAACAACCAACTTCCTTTTCTAGATATACTGATCAGTAGAAGAGAAGATGGTTCCATCCAACGTTCTATTTATAGAAAGCAGACATGGACGGGGCAATACCTTAATTTCCATAGTCACTGCCCAATTCATTACAAACGTGGGTTAATTAAGGGCTTATTCAATAGAATCAATCGTATTTGTACTAGTGATACTATTGAAATAGAAACGAAGCGTCTAACTAATACGTTAATGAATAACGGTTATTCATTTAAGTTCATAAACCGCTGGAAGGGTTGCAATACGATTAGACCTATTACGCTTCTGGCACCCAAAAAGCGAGTTTATATTACATTACCATTTAGAAGTGACTCTAATAGTCTCATGTTAAGACGGAGACTAAAATTAGCCATAAATAGGACATTCTATGCAGCTCAACTTGTCATCATTGAAAAGACAAGGTCGATATTTCACCAAAAACCTAGACAGCATATAAGCGATTGTGTCACATCCCATTGTGTATACCAATTTACATGTATGTGCGGAAACACGTACATAGGGAGGAGCAATCGTGATTTGCAAATAAGGGTGGTGGAACACATACCTAAATGGCTACAGAACCAAATGAATTCGAATAGTCAAATAAGATCACAGGACAGACAAACATCTTCCTCTATTGCGAAACATTTAGTTGAAACTGGTCATAAGGTTGACATCAAATCAGCATTTGTAGTGTTGTACAAAAGCCTTCAAGGACGTATACTAAGGTTTATTGAAGCCTTGGCTATACGGAAATTGAAACCCCCTTTATGTGTTCAAAAACAATTTGTTCTTACCCTTAACCTACCCTGGTAATGCTTATTTATTATCCAGAGTAGTCATCACTTTGTTTTTGTGTACTTTATTTATTTTCTTACCTTAACCTGTCTAGTTGACCTTTTAATTTTCATATAAAAAAAATGTCTTAACAAGTATATGTGTGATCAGATTGTTCGAAATGTATTGCGCTAATATATCACATAATTCTGATAATCTTCGTCTTCTCATTGCATTATCGAAATTATAACTGGTGTCAATTCGTTATGAACATACTAAATCTATTTCTTAACCCCAACGTCCAGCTGTAAATCTTAATTCCTTACACTAATTTATAACCCTCATTTACCTTAAGTATGTTGATAGACATCCTCAAGATCATTTTAGCGTTGCTCAAAGGTCTCACTTCGATAAGAAGTCAAATGATTGAGTATGTCGACTACTTCACCTATTTTGGAAGTTTCATTAACCTTGGTGTTCTGATGTCGGATGGGATATCAGAACGCATTCAAAAAGCCCGGTTTCCGAAAGTGATTTCTTCTTAAATATCATTTTTTCGGATTTATTATCCTCATATTAATTCACTTCCTATCTCCCTCCAAATCTGAAGCCGCATTGTTTTTTCATACATACCTTATCATTTCGTCTTTTTAAACCATCTATTTTCAAAGTTAAAACTTTATCTCTACCATTGATACCATATTATTTCGAATCTTTTGCTATTCATCTTGTTAATCCCATCTTGTCATGCTAATGTGATATGAAAACTTGGTTCAATGCATATTTTTTGTCAGAATGTAACTTGATTTGACCGATTAATAAAAGGACAGTGAGCATTCAAATTTAGAGAATGTAGTGAGATATAATCTGTAAAAACAGATCGAAGCCAAATGAGGCATCTAATGGCGAATCATTAACACAACTGACTACCTTAATATCTTTTCAGAACTATACTTCTATCATAAATCATAAATATTTCTGTTTCATTTCAATAAAGCATTCTGACAAAAACGTATTTATATCCCATGTACAGTGTGTAAGTAATGCTAGAAGCCCTCGACAATTATTCCAAAAGAGCCTCGAAAAGCCATGAAAATTGATTAAAATATGTTGGCTAATTAGCGCCCTTTGAGAATTTCTGTTATAAACCTAAAAAGCTGACTATTTTTCTCTAATAAAAACTTTACAATCACCGGATTGATCGCTAATTTAAGATATTTTCTCGACAATTCTAGGAAATCAAGGTCACTCATATGTATAATTTGCTTTCCAATGAAAATCTACTTCTAAACTTTCTGACTACAGCTTTACTTTATGAACAAGAAACATCAGTCAGTTTAAATTTATTTGAAAAGTTCTAAAACTCATATTCAATAGTATTTTACTATAACTCATGAATTATTTTCAATTTCAACGAAAACAAACCGCATAAATTGTTTACTTCGACCACCAATAATAGAGCTCAATACTTTCGCCAACGGTAAATATAACCGAAACACCCCAAATTATAACACCTTGGCAAGTATTACTACTTATTACTACTATTTTACTGTTTGTAACAAGTGTGGTGATTAATTGAATGATGTAAATGAGTTTAAGTTGACACGTTTACATATATAATTTAGTAATACCAGTTTTGATTACTTTTAAAATGTATATGCATCTTAGTGACCAATATCGATACAAATTTATGTTTTTCTTGGTTGCCTTCAAAATATATGTTAAATGATAATGAACAAACTCTTTACTAGACTATGGGATTACGTAACTACGACAATCTCACTAACAACCCTATACAAATAATCGTGGTATGAATTTTCTGTCATTAAGCTTAGCAAAATTAAACACCGATTTCATAAAATCTTGTAAATATTCCAGGAGAAACGATAATGTTCTTTCCAGTATACATGAAGAAGATTACATTAACTGTACATCGATAAAAGCTAACAGTAAAAGCACTTATATTATGCCTTTTATGGCCATATGATCAACAAAAGCTATTTGAGGTGTTTGTGGGCATACTAAAACCTGTGAAAAACGTTTCTTTTTCGTTAGTATGAAATAATTGATGCTAAAATACTTTTTAGTTTGAAAATATTCAACAATATTGGATAAATTTAAGAAAGTTTGTGAATCACTAGTACCAATTATTTAATGATAGACTGTTCACGTACAACCGAAATCTCCAAAGTTACTTCAGTTGACTGAGAATTCTAAAGTTTATGTTTTCACATAACACAATAAAATAATTTTTTTTATCAGAAGGGGTTTTGTGGAGATTTAGTATTTTTCATAGTAGAAAGCATGAGTCAATTGAAGCTAGACCACCATGGAAAACCTGGAAACGGCCGTCCAGTGTTTCCAGGTTTTCCATGGTGGTCTAGCTTCAATTGACTCATGCTTTCTACTATGAAAAAATAATTTTTTGACTGAAATCAAAATTTTCCAGTCTTAAATTTTGAACTTTATTATAACGTTTGCTTTGCTCTTACTAATAGATACTTACTACTCAATAATATAAATATCTCAGTTCTAATAGTGATCGTTTGTGAACAAAAAATCCTCAGTGATAGTTTCTTAGACTATAAACCTGAACGAAATAGATTCGAACACTACAGGCATTTATTGGTTTTCTACTTTTTGAAATGGAAAGTTTACGTATTCAAATAGAAAAATAAACTGTCTTCGTCAATTTTACAAAAAAAACGATTATAGAAAAAGAATTTTTCGACTGTTCATCTACTTAATTTTAGACTTATTAGGATTCTGTTCTGCTCATTTTGAAAATTAATAATATTGCGATCATAATGAAAACTGAAGGTATTGAGCTTGATGGCTGTTGATCTAAGACTAGATTGGTTTGAGAATCTTTACAAAGAGCAGCCACCCAGTCATCTTTGGTTCTTTACAGATTTTTAGTTGATATTAACCCGTTATGTAAAACTATATAAATATATAATGGTCACGACAGTCACTAATTTGGTTAACGAAAACCGTTTCCTCCTGTCAACAAATGAAGTTCTTTTACTGTATATACTTATGTGCATACATATGTGGATGCGTCTAGTCTCTTATTATGAAAAGAAAACTTAATTTTTTTTAACTCTAGAGCTTAATGCTCGCAATTTCGTGACCCAAATATCGGACCAATTTTAGTGAAATTTCAAAGAAACTAACCAACTCATTAATCATTAGTCAAAAACTCTATTGATTCGTTAAATTCAAACTAATCTTGACAGTTTCTTTGAAAATGTATTAAAGTATAAAAAAGCTGGAACTATGATGGTTGGTTTTAACATATACCTCAAACAAAATAGAATAAATTACGTCTGTTGGACATAGGTTTTTTTAAGAAACAAAATTTTGTTTCTGAGGAATCCGGAGATCACGTAAATATCCAAAACCATTAAGGTTACCAAATATTAAGTTCAAAAATCTTTAAATGAAAATTTAAGTTTCCTAATGTGTCTAATACGCCTTTGTTTAATTGGCTATATGGCAAAGAAAACGTGGACATTAAATTATGTCAATTTGAGAAGAGTTTTAATCATGAAAAGTGATTTACTTTCATTCTAACTTATTTCATACTTTCTTAATGATAAGGATTTCTGAAAATCTATCAGTATGTGCCCATTGATAAATACCATCACATGTTAACTTAACTATTTTTATAATATGAAGTTTTAGCGATTGTCAATGTTCGCCAAATAATCACCACTATGTCAATAACTATTTTGTTTTCTTAAAATACGTTCGATACAACAAAAAAATTTATCTTATAGCTTGCAGAATTCATTTGTGCGGAATGGGAAATTTGTATTTCATGCATTTAAAAAAAAAAATAAGTAGACTCATGTGATCAGGATAATTCAATAACACTTTCGTTAATCATATTCTTTTGACTAGACTAGTTTAAATGAATTACTAGAAAATATGTGACCATTATAATCCATACTATTTGATATTAATTATACACTTCTTTATTAGTTTGAAATATACCAGGTAATCACTTCAAAGTTATGTAAATAGGTAAACTAACAGTACAATTGTATGTGTATGGATTCTTAAAATTGAAATGTATTTTTAAACAAATTTCAAAATTTTATTAGTGGTCATATGCATAGATATACGGCTATAAGAAATCATATTAAAAAAGAGTTGATTCGTTAATTTTGTAGGTATAATTAAATCTAAGTGTTAGATCTTATTTTCCAATTCTTGTGTAAAGAATAAAAAAATTTCTTGGCCGGCTATTTCATAAGGTTGTTCTTATTAAAAACCTGTAAATAAATAAACCCAGCTATTAACTCAATGAAACAAAGAATGTAATAAAGCTAAAGTATTTTTTACAATTTCTTTTTTCTATACACTTCCTAGAAACTTTCATAAATGAATCTGTCCAACATATAACCAAATCAAAATAAATAGTATGATCATTAGGTGTAAAAATGCAATAACATCTCGTCAGACAATCATAGATGACATGAACTGCAGTAACTTGATGATCGAATGAAATATCTGTATGTATAACCAAACTGTTAAAGAACAACTGTAAATGGTTACGTTACAATTACTTGGAAACAATCTGATTAGAAAATGCATTACTTGAAAGATAAAAACCTATGGTTGAAAATTAGTTTGATTTGAAGATAGACATAATGTGAAATAAGTAATGCAAAAATAGACTAAAGGATAATTCCATTCCTAAACACATCGCACTTATGAATAAACACAGAAAAATATCATAACTCCCAGCTTTTCAACGACTGACTTAACATAGAAACTACAATTCAAATCCTATACCTTATAATAATCAGAGAGATTATTAATTTGTACCGACCCTTTAAATTTTACCATAAGCAGTTACCATAATCCGAAATGAGTATTTAATTTCATCGAAACATTGAGAAATGTCAAAACAAGAAAATATACCAATCAGATTAATAGCATCGGTAAGATTTGAAAATTTCTAAAAACAATATATGAAAATGACAGTTGTCAAGACAAAATTGATTTTGGAATTTAAAAGATGCGTAAAGATTTCCAATTTACATAATTTCTACTTCAGGTGGATCCATTATACTATTTTAACAGCACAAATGAATAACAAACAGATATATTTCAAAATTTTAATAAACGTTTCTCGTAATTCTAATAACGATGTATAATATTCGAACGTTATTACTGAGAAATGGTTAACAGCTCATAATTGCTGTCTCAGGTCATTGATCAGTCGAATGAAATATTTCTAGGCTTTAAAATTTTTATTTAAGCGTAGGCAGTATTTATTTATAGAAACTATTTTAGACACTTAATAGAATAATCCAAAATATAAACGTAGAGCACATACATCTTAGCAGAATACTACTTTTTATCTTAGGAATCATATACATTTGAGTATTTTGGACTAACTGAGCTACGGTTTGATTACAACAAGTAGATTTAAGCTCTCAGATCCTTTTTTAATTTTAACCATATTAACCGTTATTATTTTTCTTACAAAAACAGAATCAATTTTCCGGTAATTTACCGTAGATTATCACTCTTCTCTTCAAAATACGTTTCCCCATCGAAAAATAATGAGTTGTAAGTCACCTGTATCTCAATGGAATCCAGACTTCATTATTAAGCTTTATTTTTACTCTGAGTATCACTAACATCTCCATAAAACCAAAAAATGGAAATGTCAAATAAGGGGGCTAATAGATATTATTAGAATACATTTGGAAATACTGCACAACGTAACAGTATAATTTCACTAGATGATGGGAGACTGGACTCTCAAATGACTATATGCCCTGATTTCCACAAAACATTTAGTTAGTAATCAGTCCAACCTTTATAAGATAGTTTCTCAACGGTATAATCGGAAGACTGTATCTGTAAAGAATCAGAAAACGATGGATACTGATGGTTTAAAGTATATATCTGCGTACAAAGTCTACACAATAACCAAAACTACAATCAAACTTACTTCCTTTTAGACATAAAGAAACTCAGAAAGCTTAGTTGTCCTATCTAAATATGACTGATGTGAAAGAAATCGCCTCCGATAGAACGCTTGATAATTAGAATACACTTTTGAGCGAAAACTAGCTAGACTTTAAGCTACAAAACACGTTGTACTTTACCATAAATGTGGCCTTAAAAATGTACTTAGATTCGCATCAAGATAACAACACAGTCTATATTTGTTGAGATATTTAAAATTATTGAGCTCTTTCCAGTCAAAATTTAAAGTTTTTAGTGCCTTATTCCAAATAATTGTCAACTATTGAAACTTATCGAACTTCTAGCTCAACTTACATCAAGACAATCTTGGATTTGATCATATAAGCAATGAAATTTAGGCTAAATATACATAAACGACTCTTGAATTCACTATGAAGAAATTCGATTGAATAAAATTTCAGGTCGACATTTCCAATTCTCGGGAAATAATAAGGCAAAACAAGGCAAAAATAAAGTTGATTTAGCTTGGAGTTCAAAAAATTAATAAAGTTTCAAAACTGAACAAAATTAATGATGTATCTATGCGAATCTGTCAATTTTTAGAGATTGGTGAAGATGGCTGATACAATTCAAAACTTTGATATCGAAGGAAATAAGAAACACTTACACAACAACAAAAAACCGATCCGCAAAAGGGAACATTTCTCTATAAAGATAATTGATTAGGGTTTTTTCTAATTAAATGAAAGCTCGCGTGGTTAACTTTATTCTAAAGTGGTAAAGATACAACAATTATAATAACACAAACTAATAATAATAATCTTAGATCTTAAGATAAAAAAGGATTGAAGCAAAAAACAAATTAATAATAAACTATTAGCGGACTGTAAAACAATTTTGTTGTAAAGCTTTAAAGGGAAGTATATAGGTAACAGCAAGGTGTAAAGCAGAAAATCACAGGTAGAGAAAATGTCAGTGTACAGAAATAATCATTAATCAGTTGTATACACCAAAATATTTTTTGTTTTTCATGTTCCTTTCGTCTCGATGATGAGATCAAGAAAGGATGAGAAAATGAAGAGGTAAAAGAAGACTGAAAAACAAATTGTATTCTAACAACATCAATAATAATATCTGTTTTCTATTCAGTTATGTAGTGAGGTATTCAATAAATACAATCAGGAACTGTTTTTACCTACACGAAGACGCAACTTATTATCAAGAAATAATTCTGAAAATATAACAGAGAAAAGAAAGGGGAGGGGAAAACAAGAGAGTACGATTTCTGAGTGGTATTTTTTCGCCAACATAAAAACACTGTAATAATAATAAAATAAAAACTTCTGAAGCCAGAAAAATGAACAAACAATAGATATTAAGGCACATAATAAATTACCAATGCTAAGGTTAGACTTGATAGTTCCACGTGGTGACTGTTGATTAGTGATGAAAGAAAAATACGTTCTTGGAAAAATGTAAACAATAAGAGACAAAAATTATCTGTATTTCTATGTATGAATACACAACTATGAACAAACACATACACACACAATACAAACCGGAGATAACAAAAAAGGATCATGAAGTAAAACAAGTACACCACATAATCTCCTTCCCTATCATTTTTTCATTCATCCAACTGTAACTTAATTGGATACTTCAAAGTTATGTTGAGTAGATTATTGTATCGCTTTAAATTCTCCACATGATAGTAACAGATCAAATCTTCCAATGATTCATATGTACAAGAATTTTCAACAAATCCATACTTTCCGTTTACACAATGAATTAAACAATGTTGAACAGATGTTGCTAACCTGAACAAAACAAGATAAAATGAAAGTTAAGCATATATATATATATATATATATATATATATATATATATATATATATATGATGGCTATCAGAGTATCTTTTAGTAAATAATTTTGGATTATGCAACTAACTACCGATTTCAGGCAATTCATCAAATGGTTCAATTCGGATGATCGAAAGAACTCACCTTTAACACTTTTATTGGTGTATTCCATTTCCAACAAAGTGAATATTCATGATTTTAATGATAGTAATTTGGTTTGCGAATAACTTAGATCAACCTCATTAGCGTAGAAATTACTAAGCTTAACTAGTAAATAATACTAATAAAGATTTATGATTCATGACTACTTAGGGTAGTTAAGAGAAACTGACCGTCAGCCAAAGTTTGGATTCTCGATTTCATCACTATTGATCTTTAAATAACAGCAGAGTTAACTTCCAATTCGGCTTAACGAAATCTAAATGTTCTGATTTCAAAATAATAATGTTATAAATACTACAAATTATTCTATAGACATTTAAGATCTAATTTATCATTTATAAAGGAAATTCTAATAAAAATATTTGTGAAGATTAGTTTGTTTTTATAACGGATCAATACTAACTGTGGAAAAATTAAAAGAAGTGGAAAACAATAAACAACTAACCCCATTATGACTTATTTTAAGAATTATTTATTCTATCACCTAAATCCATCAAATTAGTTAAATAATATCTTACCCACCAAACTTTAAACATACACGAAGAATACCAATAGACTGTTTGACATGTAAATAAATTAAACAGATTAGAGCATTGCACAACTTTCAACGACATTACTTCTACTTATTAATTATTTACCTTATGAATAAATCATTGTTATTAATGGATGGGAGAGATGTTATTGTTAGATTAGTATTTTTTTTTTGTTATTCATGATTAGTCTATATAATAAATTTATTTATTTATTTATACACAGAATTTTGATCAAGGGATGGTCAATTAATAAATATATGTAACATGCAAGAAATAATTAAAATAGAAATAAGTATCACTTCATAATTCAATTAACCTAAGTAAACTCTATATGAATTCGTTTAGTTTAATTAATAATATCGATTCAATTAAAAGTGAATCCAAAACAAAAATAGGGAACCCATATTATCTCCTTTAAGATAAAGAGAAAACAATTTAATAGATTTATATAAGGAAACAACTCTTATTAAGGAAATGATCATTTGCATAAATTGTACATGTAAGTTACATGTTAACCACAAAATATGGAATTCTCAAACATTTCTATAAAAAGAAAAAAAAACATCTCTTCCAATAATACAGTACAAATTCATTTCAAATCCTATTAGAATGTTGTAGAGATATAATTGATAAATATTAATATTAGTAACTATATATAATTCTGCCAAAAAGTCTTTATAAAATTGTAAGCAATAAATCGTAGTAAAATTAAATAAAATACCTACCGTATGCCCAATGCTAATTTATCACCAGTAGCAGACGGTCTGACGATAAAAGTTCCAGCAGGTCTATCCCTCAGTAACTCTTCCACCTTTTCTCTAGTAGCATCTGTGAGGAACCAATATCGACGATCACGTATCTCCTCTGGTAAATAAATATCAACATGAGAATTTATAGAATTTCTCGGTACAATATTACTTTGGTTATCAATTGACTGTTTCGTTGAAGAAGTGGAGTCATCATATAATGAAGAACTCGAAGAAGATAAAGACTCTTCTTTAAATCCTCGATCTTTTAATGCTCGACGAATTTCGTGAGCCTGTCTTCTTAATTTACGCTGACGAAAAATTGCATTAGCGTAGTTTTCACATATTATTCGAGCTTGTTTGGATTGATTATTAACCTCTTCCTTGTTAATCTTGATTTGTTTTTCAATTTCATCTATTTCTCTTTTTAGCGTTTCAATTTGAGGTGAGATTTTCAACCTAAATGATCAAAAAGTTTAGCAAATTTAAAACTAATTTACAAATGTACTGAAAATTATTAAAATTTAAAGTTCAGTGAAAATACGTGTTTTTGAAACTACAAAAATCAGCAATAAATGCCAATATTAGTAGAAAAAAATTTTCAATTATCAGAAAAGTCCATTAACTCATAGACGAAGTAGAAGCTTATATAAGTAACTTGAGATCACGTTTTGCGGTGTGACACTAAGTGGTATTGTAGTAAACCAGAACACAAGTGGGGATAACCAACTGTATTTGAGTACAACACAAAGTCTCCTAGTAAAATCTGAAAGCCATACAGTAAATACTTGATTTGCAAAATGTCCATCATTTGTTTCAGACTTTGCTGTACCTTCATTTCCATACCAATCACTCTCTGTTCCCGTTCTCTTCTAGTTAATCTTTTCAACCTTCTGCTACCAGGCATTCCACTTTAGATGGGTGTTACATACTACTTATATCTGTCGACATCAGTAGCACATACTACAGTACTACCACGCTGACCAATTCAGCAAAAAAACTAACAACATCATCGAGTTCTAAGTATGACGAAAAATAAAGTAAAGGACTTTCTAAATAAATCCTCTTGAAAAGAGGTCATGGGAAGTATCTAAAATATAAACTAATATTTTAGGTTGTTAATTGATGAAATACTAATTTCTCTATTGCAGATTTTGATTACTACTGCTAGATGGTCTAAATAATCTTCTTGGATCATTTATTCTGTCATAGAATCAAAAAAGTATAAATCACCCAACCAATTTTCGATTATAATTTCAGTTTATTTTGTAATGTGTATAAAGCGTTGTATTTTCATCAACTAATATTTGCAGGTCATGTATAATATACTAGACTTCCTACGCCTCAATAAAACCCAAAGTAATGAGGATAAAAACCCTACTTGTCAACTGGCATATTATTAGTATAGATTTATACCAGTCGATTCTATTAGATTAATATTTTTCTACACTCGTTTACATTGTAAGATGAAAAATTTAACAGGCTATGATATCATAACTTAACTGAGTATAAACGTCAACATTTACATCAAGCACTTTGATGAAGTCATAGTGATAATCTATTAAGTTATGCTTTTTATACTAATTCCAGTTTGATGAAGATGCCATTGTAACGACACAGTTGAATCTATCTACAATAAAGAAAAACCTACATTGAAAAAATAACTATTGAATGATATCTCCATTCTAAAATCGATTTTTTATATGATGATGAAGGAACGACAATCAGTAAATTAATAAGTTATCATTATTTGCCTCTCCTAGTTAAGTATATGACTGCATAGAAAGTAGGAAATTATGTAAACAATAGTTTTTTTCTCTTCAACAAATCATTACTTTTGTTGATAAAAGTTAACAGTCTCTTCTTTATTATATGATGAATGCAGTCGTATTACTGAAGATAAAAAATTTCCTTCGACATTTGACATTTCAATGAATACAAACTCTGCTTTAATTTATAATTAAGTTTCGGTAATTTAGGATATTTCGCTTAAATCAGAATAGAAATAAGACGCTAACTAATGAATATGAAAATTCGAGTTACAAAACGTTCCTAGTAGATAGTGTAAAACTATAAAAGGTGAGATTTCTTCACTCAATCCTACGGAAAAAGTAAAGTTTAACATATGTACAGCCTTATCTTGGATAAATGGTAAAGGGAACACATTTTAGCAACAGAGGTTTTTACAAAAAATTTGAAAGGAGCCTAACAGTATTTCATATAATCATAATTAAGATATAATATTATTAGATACAGGAGAAAAAAGACAATAAAAAGGGAATAAAATAACGGTTTTGATCTTAACATCTACACTCACTTTTCACTAGGATATGAATAATCATATAACTGACTCAATGAGGTCTGTAACCATTTACGTATCTTTTGATAACCCTTTATAAGACGAACACCTTCCTCTTTCAAATCAATCGCATTTTTCGACTGTAACTGTAAATCAGTAATAACTTTATCCAATTGATTAATTTCAGCAGCTTTACTTTTCAATTCACTGTTTAATTGTGACTCAGTTAAGAAGCAGGCAAACACTCCATCTGCATTGCTTTTATTCTCATTAGATACAGTATTATCGAATAAGATGTCAGTTTTGCCATGAAAACGTTTATGACGACGTGATACAGGCCAAATCAATCGTAGATTGCTACAACTAGTCAAAGTTAGTGGATGAACACGACAAAATTCAACAAGCTCAGAAACAAAACGACAACTGGGATATGGAGGATCAGTGAACCCGAAATAATCACCACGATGATAGATTCGATTCAACTTATTTAAACCACGCCATCTATTGAAGGAATATTAAGAAAATATAGTTAGATAGTGAGATAGTAAAGTAGTTAAATATAAGTAAGTTATAAAGAAGAACTTTATTGATTAAATAAATATTTTAAATATATCAAATAGTGGATTACAGTATATCATTCAAAATAAATGTTATTCTTTAGAACACGAAATACATCAGTAAATATACACAAAATACCTGACTACCAAAGTGAATGCAGCGGATGAACTCCCAGAAGCATCACGAACAAGAAAATATCCATCTTGAAGATCTGTCATCAGTTCGCGTACCTCTTCTTGAGTTATATCACCCCAATACCATTCTTGATTCTGTAAATCTTTTTTATTAGCAGTAATTGAAGTAGGACTAGGCGGAGTATTAATAGTTGGTGCAACTACATTAGTAGGATATGGTGAGATAGATTCTGAAGATGTATGTTTTTCACCCTGATATCTGGCTTTAAAAAAAAAGAACATGGAACTTCAAAAAGATAAATTAAATTGGCAGAATCAAGTCAACTCAAAATCCCACTCAAACAGAACCATTGATAATTATGTGTAGCTTTATTAGGAACGGCCTAGATAGTCAGAATTCAGCTACTACATTATACAACCAAATACTAACCTACTCTAATCAGCGCTTAGGTAATCACCCTATAAGACAAATTTTGGCATGACTGCTTGTAACCATCTTTTATTTCTTGATAATTACTAACAGAAAATGAAAACATTTAGACCACTTGAATATTTGAACAAACCTAAGATTTATTCCAACTTAATGTATGATTACACTATGCAGTTTAATTATTAGACAACAAACGCCTTATTCTATTCATTTCAGACTAATTTGCAGTAAAACAAGAAAACCTGGATAGATAGATAGATAGTATAGTGAAAGTTGCATATCACTCAAGCATATGAAAAATGAATATAAAAACCGAATGATATCCTCGATAAAATTCCGTTGAGAATCGTTAAATCAGTAATTCGAGTTATTTTAAGTCAAAACAATACAACCAAAAGTGTGGTGAGGAGAAATACAAGAATTATATCATCAATGAACAAACAGCATGTGTACAATTCTGATAAACCAAGTAATTAATGAAACATTGGAACTGATATAAACCAAACAATCATTGAAAACCATAGAGTACTAGAAGGGATATCTATCTAGTGCTCCTCTGTCTTTTCCAACCGATAAAAATTTCTGATAAAATTCATTGTTAAAGGACAGCAAAAACGAAACTGAATATATAATGACAGCATACGTTAACTTTTATTTAAACCACGCTTTGTATATTAGACTACTAAATTTCAATGAGAATGAAAGGGATATGAGTAAGGTTGATTAAAACCAACCTTCCTTATTCTAGAAATCCCAGGAATAAATATTTATTAGATCTTTGAAAGATGTTAACGGAAATTATGAATAGCGATAAGTAGATCTTTGTATCCAGAAAAACAAATACAAATTGTTATAGAAATGGTATATAACTTCTCGATAGTTGTCTGGATGTTAAACTCACTTGCATAACATTATGATACTGTTAGAAATCCTCTTGTTACATGTCACCTTACGTTTTGTAAATATTCCGAAATCATTGAAATCAAATGGTATAAGTAACAACAAAATAACAAATAAACCGTATGATCAACAACATGATAACTCACAAATATGTTCAAATTGAGAAAAAGATATATAATTTCTTTGAAGATTTGAATCTAATACATGAGATTGTGCTTCGGAATTTTTAGTTTGAGATGTATATTCTGATTCCTCACTGACAAAATCGACAAAAGTTGAAAAGAGAGCCTCTAAAGCACGCATATGTGTATCCATACCCATAGCTATGTCGGTGATAAGATGCCATGGTGGTCGAACAAGGATTTGTCTAAAAATCATCAACCAAGGCGTAGCTTTATTCAATACATTTATACTGGACTCAGAAAATGAATTCGACCGGTTCAGATTGACAGATGATGAATCTGACAAATAAGATTTTAACTTATTTTGATGATTCAGTACGAAGCCTAAATGGTTAAATATATGAATCAAACACAGCCGATGAAGTTCAGGAAGACTTTCAAGAAATGCATGAACAGCTTTTTCCTTTTCATCTAGTAACAGATAAATCAAAAAAAATTATTATTATGACACTCAGAGAAGAACAAACTGAACTTATTAACATACAAAATGCAGGAGATAAAATTACAGGATGTTGTTGTTCAATGGTACGTATAACTTACCTATATTTCTTATATTTGCTAAACTGCAAAAATCTAAGTAGTACTCTTCAGGTATCACATTCACTGGTAAATCACGAAGAAAAGCTTTCATTAGTTGGGCAAAACGTACAATGTCCAACGGATGGGTAGATGACTGTTCTATATCGGGTAATGGCAAACAATGAGCAAATGTATCATGAAGTTCTTGTAGAGTATACGTTAAAGCTGATTGTTGATAAACCATAGCCATGTCAACAGGTTGAATACACGGATTATTACTGGCAGTAATAAAGCTTTCAGTAGCTAGTTTTTCTATTTGTTCAGTACATGTAGTTAAGAATATAGGGACTTTTGAATTAGAATCTAATTTCTATGAAATAAAAATTAACGAAAAAATAATTTTGAAGATCATTTATCAATTAATTATACCTAAACTTATCATATATGTAAAGAAATAACTTTGGTGCGGAATATGAACAACTGACTACCAATATATTGAATAAAACTTTCAAAAGTGTAATAATATATTAATTTCTTTGACAGATGTATATACCAACCTGATCTAAATACTTGAAAATGGACGCTTGGTGGAATCCTTATATCATATATATATAGTGGTCCACCTGGGATATTAATACCTGTGTGGTTGCGTCACAAGACTGAGCTATGCTGTTCAGGTCGTGTAAAAGCCCGTATGGTGTCTGGTTTCCTAAAAACCAATGTAAAATTACCCTTTTGAAGGGTATATTTATAGTTGTGTGAATATATACCTAAAACTTTTCCAGCTTTTAACCACTGTACTTTTACTAGACGGTCAGTATATTTGAGGTTCATCAAAAAGATCTCAATACATGAAAATTGTTCCGATTAAACAACTAGAAAACAAACAAATGACAAAAGGAAACAATACCCTTGAAGTAACTGAAAAATATACATTTTGGCTCTCTGAAGGATATCTAAACTGTGTTTGACATTCATGTGCAAAATAGAATAACAATAAGTCAGTTATTTTACATAATTGTTTGATACAATTTGAAGGTGATCTAAAGCAATGGTTATATTTGGTTTATTGTTCTAACTTATAGCCTGTGTGCCCTGATAATACCGTCAATTAGAGAGCAGTGCTTTATCGATCGGACCAATAACACATAAAACCCGTACGAGCAGTCTAGAGTACTTATCGGTCCTTGCTTCCCGTCTAGCCCTGTCTATTAAGTCCAGAACAATATGAATCCTTTAATCCAAATATACTGGGTTTATATACCGACCGGACAGACCACATCGTACCATAAAATAGGAAACAACATTTGTACAAGATTAATCCAAATGTGGCTGTGAACAAGGGAGATAGACAGGGCATAACTCAAGAATGGTAAATCGTATAATAATAGTTCATAGGTCAAAATAAAGCTCATGATAAAAGGGACATGAATATGAATAGTTTAGTTATTTAACAATTATTTGATAAAAATATATGTAACTTATCGGTCCATAAATAGTTCGAAAAAGGTACCATTCACAATTATCTTCGTGATATAACATTTACATTTCAATAAATTTTCATAAACACTAAAAATAGTTTCCAACAGGTAACTTTCTTATAAAACAATCAAAGTAAAACTATACAAACTATTGGTTGAATCCGTCAATTTATGGTTTTGGTATAGAATTCAACAATGCAAAAATATTATCCTATGCAGACCACTATTCACCTATATATATTCATGATATAAGTTTTAAAACAATAACTTTACTTGTTCTTCCAATTTAACACCAAAGTATTCACTAACATACGGAACCAATGAGGTTGGAACTTCATTCGTTCCACAGCCAGCGTCCTGGTTTTCCGGATTAAATGCTTTACTTGCACAAAATACTCCAGGACAATTTGAAAAATAATCTAAAGCTTTACAGATACGATGACAAATAGCTCCACACTTTTTACACTGAAATCCCTGATGACTGAAACCTACGAAAATGAACAGAAAATAGGTTATAATTCTAGTGGAAAAGTAAAACACCAATAAAAGTTTCAAAACAAACAAGCAATCACATGAAAACATTTACATATATACTTTGTTACTTGTTACTGCCGGTCCCAAGCCCACAAAGGAGGAGGGTTGGGCATGGGGTTAGCGACCCCATCCCGTAGAAGAAATAACTCGCTAAAAAAACGCTAACCAGAAAAAATAATTCAAACCATTTAAACTCTGCTCTGGGAGTGGAAGGAAGAATTATGACGCCTCATGATGAAAGCCGAGATCCTTCGGAAGTCACGAAGCCGGTGCTCCTTCTAACAACCAGAACAACACTCTTTATAGGTACATGGGACGTCCGAACAATGTGGGAGACCGGGAAGACCAGTCAAATAGCAATGGAAAGGAGATACAAATTCGCAGTACTCGGAATCAGCAAAACCCATTGGACACAAGCTGGACAACAAGGGAAGGATGCTGTTGTAAACCGATCACGAAGAGGAAAATGCTACACACACTCAGGGAATTGCTCTAATGCTATCCAGAGAAGCACGAAATGCAACCCTAAGATGGGAACCTCATGGATCCAAGATAATCAAAGCATCATTCAAAACAAAGAAGTGGATCACAATGAATGTTATCCAATGTTATGCACCACAAATGACAGCAACGACGACGATAAAGATTAGTTCTACTCGAGGCTGTAATCAATCCTAGCTAAGTGCTCAAGAAAGGACCTCACCATCCTGATGGAAGATCTAAATGCTAAAATCGGAGTGGACAACACAGGATATGAAGATACAATTGGACGACATGGAATAGGAGAAAGAAATGAAAATGGGGAGAGACTTGCAAATCTATGTGCATTCAACAAATTGGTTATTGGTGGCACAATATTTCCACACAAACGCATGCACAAAGCAACATGGATCTCACCGGACCACACCACAGAGAACCAGATAGATCACATCCGTATCAACAAAAAATTCCGAAGGACAATGGAAGATGTGAGAACCCGGAGAGGAGCTGACATAGTTTCAGATCACCACCTGGTTGTGGCCAAGATGAGACTGAAGCTTAAGAAACACTGGAAAACTGGACAAACAGCACTACAAAGGTTCAATACAATCTTCCTTCGAGATACTGACAAACTCAACGAATTCAAGATAACTCTCAACAACAGGTTCCAAGCTCTACTGAAAGAACAAGAAACTACTTTGGAAGACAACTGGAAAGGGATAAAAGAAGCACTAACTTCAACGTGTCAGTAGGTTCTGGGTTCTAAGAAGCATCATCATAAGGAATGGATCTCTATGGGAACCCTGGACAAGATCGAAGAAAGGAATAACAAGAAGACAGAAATTAACAACAGTCGAACACGAGCAGAGAATGTCAAGGCAAAAGCAGACTACGCAGAAGCGAACAAGGAAGTGAAGATGAGCAATAAAGCCGACAAGCAGAAATACATGGGAGAATTAGCAACGATGGCAAAAAGAAGCTGCAAGAGAAGGGAATATGAAACAACTATATGATACAACGAAGAAACTAGCAGGTAAATAGAGTAAACAAGAGAGACCAGTCAAGAACAAAGAAGGAAAGACAATCACGGAGATTCAAAAACAGAGGAAAAGATTGGGCTGAACAGGCCAGCTCCATTGAATCCACCGGACATCGAAGCAACACACACAGACCCACCTATAGAAGTCACTCCATCAACGACCGAAGAAGTCAAGATTGCCATCAGACAAATCAAGAGTGGGAAAGCGGCAGGACCCAACAACATACCAACTGAAGCACTGAAGTCAGACATTGAAGTAACAACAAACATGCTTCACCTTCTATTCAAGAAGATTTGGGAAGAGGAACAAGTGCCGACGGACTGGAATGAAGGACACCTCATCAAGATACCAAAGAAAGATCTGAGCAAATGTGAGAATTAGAGGCATCACACTGTTGTCAGTATCAGGGAAATTTTTCAACAGAGTGTTGCTGAACAGGATGAAAGACACAGTGTATGCCCATCTTTGAGATCAACGGGCTGGATTTCGCGAGGATCGGTCGTGCACAGACCGAATCGCGACACTACGTTGAACAATCAATTGATTGGAATTCGTCACTATATATCACCTTCGTTGACTATGAGAAGGCGTTTGACAGTGTGGACCGGAAAACATTACGGAAACTTCTTCGACACTATGGAGTTCCTGAGAAGATTGTCAACATTATCCAGAACTCATACGACGGACGACAGTGCAGAGTCGTGCATGGAGGACAGCTGATAGATGCATTCCCAGTAGGGACCGGAGCCAGACAAGACTGTCCACCTTCCCCCTTCCTCTTTCTTCCGATGATGGACTGGATTATGAAGACCTCGACATCTGACGGGAAACACAGAATACAATGGACATCTCAGAATCAATTAGATGATTTGGACTTCGCAGATCACATAGCCCTCCTATGCCTTACACAAGAACAAATACAGATGAAGACAACTAATGTAGCAGTAACCTCTACATCAATAGGCCTCAACATACACAAAGGTAAAAGCAAGATTCTCAAATACAACACAGAGAACGCCAACACAATCACACTTGATGGAGAAACCTTGGAAGAGGTGGAAACATTCACGTACCTGGGAAGCATCATGGATGAACGAGGAGGATCTGATGTAGATGTAAAGGCGAGGATTGGCAAAGCAAGGACAGCATTTCTACAACTGAAGAACATATGGGACTCAAAACAACTGTCAACCGATAACGAAGTCCCAATCTTCAATAAGAACGTCGAGACAGTCCTACTGTACGGAGCTGAAACGTGGAGAACTACTATATGAAAAGGACGAATAACAACTGGGAAGGATTGCCCAGAACAGGGTTGGATGGAGAATACTGGTGTGCGGCCTATGCTTTTTCACAAGGGATAACGGGCGTAAGTAAGTTAGTTGCTTGTATTTAGAATTCCACAAATACAACTTCTGCATCATGTGTGCATCAAATCACAACAATAGAAGACAGAACTGATGTTAGTTTCTGTTGAAATTTGTAAGTTGTACTGTAATATATTTCCTGGTGATTCTAATTTTATGATTTTATAATTCGATAATAATTTGACTTTAATAAAACAATAAGCAAAAAAGATAAAAGTAACAGTGATGGGATACCTAACAAAGGAATATTGCACACTATACAGGAGACTGTTCTGTAAAAAGAAATGAGCTGAAAATCGTGCTGTCGAGAATTGCTACTTTTTCCTGGACATTCTACAACGATATCCAAACTCGCGAATATATCCAGATTTTCTCCAGGAGTAGGTTCTTTACCTTGCAAAGTCTTTTACAGAAAAGAAAGAAAAATACAAAATTTTCACACAAAGTTCACACAAGACCAATGAAGACAAGTGGCATCATGCAACAAAAACACTAGTAATATATGAGAAAATGCAAATAAAAACAAGTACGAACATTTGCCAAATAGATAATGATAACTATCGTCAATTTTCAATGGCCAATTATCATTCAAATGGAACATTAAAGAAGTTAGGCACAAAAAGCAGAGTTGAGATCTGACACCAGATACTAACTCACTCCGGTTACCTGGTTTAACCTTAATATATGCAACAACGTTTTTGTAGATAAATAGACAAGTAGGTACTATCGTTAGCCGACATGAAGTGCAATAAATAAAACCCCATGGCATTAAATTCTAATTATGTTCATATGATTTAAGCTGATGAAACTACACATTTCCCTGAATCACCCAACACAAGTAGCATGTGGTTGGCCGATAAGTGGAACTCATCAACAGATACACATAGATAATACACTACATATGATTCACAATGGAATTTCGATGTGTTACAGAAAAACAATAAACTCATTATCTAGACATATTTGTTAGGTTATCAAAAAATACAGCATGCAAACAAAGGGGCAGTCTTCGGGAGTCAATATTACTACTTATATGTGTGAATTGTCACCATAAGCCACAGAGAGAGGAATTCAGAAGCCTGTGGCAACCATGAATAAACAGAAAAGAGAATTCGGAATTATGGAAATTGATTATTGTATAGTTAAGAGTGTCTGAACAACTTATGAATACAGTGATCTTGAGTGCTGTTAGAGGTATGAGGGCAGTTATCACTTCCCAGTTGCACAAACCGTGGAAGGATTCTTCTAAAGGTACCTGGAAAGGAAATCGGGTTAGAAGTGATCTTAATGACCTAAGAGCGTGACTGCAATGCCTAAGGGACAACTGCTTGAGGTCGGTCACACACGGCCTCTTCGTGAGTAGTTTACGTGTTGGCTCCGTACTTGTTGGAACCTTACCGCCGGAGACAGATAACCGTGGGATAAGGCGAAGTATGCAGTTTTAGGGTCGACCTTTTCTAAACCTACCCCTTGTGGGAAGGAAGCATCGCTGTTATGCTGGTCGTCTAAAGGAAACACCTTACTGCTGTCACACCTCTGTACAGTCGGCAGTACGACTTCGCCTTCGGACCTTGGGTTTGCTGCTTTTATTCTCTCCGCTCTTCAACCGACCTGTATGGCATGGTAGGACCTTGAGGAACGACTGCTCCAGCCGGTATAGCCCGATTGTTTCATCACGGTAGGCAAGCCCGACCACCACGTCAAGGTAACGGCAACGGTCGGGACTATCGTAACCAATTGTTAGAGACTTTGTGTAACATGGCTCAGAATCGTAGGTGTATACACTCTTTGTCTTCCCTTAAACCATGAGATTAAAATAGATTCATATCTTTCTTTCTTCCTGTACTATATCTATATACAATCTTTCTTTTATATGAATTCAGTGTTCATCTTCTTGTGCTAATAAGGTGTGGCAACTTGGACTGATGCATATATGTCCCTGGTCCTACGTTATAGCTGACTGACTGAACGACTTATGCTGCTTTGATGCAATTGTTGTTGGAATTCACACGAAGATGCGTACAAAAGCGAAAGGAGATTAGAATAGTGGTGATTTCTAACCCCGAAGTTTTATCAATTCTTGAAGTCCCCACAATCATCTGCAACAAAATGTCATGAGAAAGATAAGATATTAAATGTATACCCAATAGTCTCCTGAATACTGAAAAGAAAAGCAACATCTTTAGAGATGCTAGATCCCTAGAGCATGAATCTTGTTCTAGTTCTGTGATTTCCCAACCAAATTCGCCTCCAAATTACGATATCGTTAAATGACTATTGTAGTGAGTTCGACCCCTATAGGTCGATAAAAAAGAGAAACCAAACACCGCACTGTACGGTAGTTTTTTGTCCAAATTTTCACATTAGCACTATAAATTTCTAAGAAAATCGAAACACTATAAAGTTAACAGACAAATGCACAGACTGTAAGATAATGAAAAGAGAGACTTAAATTTCAAAGAGATTAAAAACATATGCGTTGAATGAGAAAATGTATCAGTAAATTCAGTACCAACCAAAGAAATTCATGATTTATCTACAACATTGAAAAAAAAATCTTATTTCCGTCAAATAGTTAAACATTCACATTAACCAAGTATATTTTTATGAGCTTAACCCTCATGCACAATGTGAGAAAACTATGAAAATTAACCAGTCAATCAAACTAAAATGAAGGCTGATCGTAAATCACTTATTTAACAAATAAAAGTCGAGTATTGTACGTATTGAAAAATTCCGAACAAAAATTTAAAAATCATGTGTAAATTGTCTGCTAAATTATGTCGGCACAATGGCTTGATATAGTAAGCCTATTAAATAGTATACTTATGAACATATCATGAAACTAGTTGCATTGTTTTACTAAAAATAAGTAGATATATTTAAATCTACTTAGTTAACAATCGCTAAGTTGGGGGATAATTAATGTAGCATGAACACATAGATGAAACAAGGATACTGAGCGAAACTCACCAATATTGCTCTTTCTAATGATTCACGAGCAAATGGGTCAGCTACTCTACACAAATGAGGTGAATCATAAGTAACTTCTGAAAGGAAATTACCATCTAAATTCAATTTGATGAATAATCGAACAAATCGACCAAGGCCAACAACAGCTAACCAATGGGCTACTTGAGTACAATTCCAAGATACCAGTGGCTAAAAATACACAAAACATGCGTTTAAAAGATATCATGAGCTTAAAAAGATATCCCCCCCAATACTATTTCTACCACTATAGTATTACGATAATAATCTTTTCATCGAGCCTAAGAACTTATTTCCGACTAGATCGGTTTTCACGTGATCAAATCATTATCATCCCTACATTTATCGGCCATTTTCTAACCTACATTTTATTCTTTCTAACATCTATTATTATATGATAAACTGGTAGTTTACTTAAGGAATGCGAGCTTAGTAAATTAATATTATACCCCTAAAACTGCATTCTTTATTTATACGATGTTAGTGTAATTATTCTGTTGGGTTATATACAACTGATAGAAATTCGACGAAATAAGATGAACAACATATGTAAGCAAATAATTGTTTTCAATTAGATCGTCATGACGATCTAATTGAAAACAATTATTTGCCTACATATGTTGTTCTAATTTTCACAATGGTAATCTTTAATATTCTGAAATAAGATGAATTTTCATCCAATTATTCAAATGTAGTTCTAATTACGGTTATTAAAATAATTAAAATACTTAAATGTAATTGCAATTGCGTTGAACCAAAGCGGAAACCTCCCGAAACATAAAATACCTTAGAGCAATATTAATTAACATTTAATCGCGAATATTCAATCGCTTTTTAATGATAGATAGTGATATTGGTTATCACCTAGTGACCGATTTATCTACAGATAAAATTATTTAAAAAAACCAAAGTTGAGTAACAGAGATTAGAAAATAGAAAGTCTAAATAAGATATCCTAGTACATAATGACAGATTAAACTGTTGATAAACTATGCGAAACGCTTCAGTAGACAAAGGAGAAAAACAACTCTACATAACTAGATTACTTCAACCATCGATTAAAAATTCAAACATATAACAGTGTCTAAACTATACATTGAATTTTGTCTGTATCTCGGTAGTTTCTGTATGACCGTGTGGTAGACTATGGGTTATTGATCTAGAAGTTAAGCGTTCGCGCGCGAGACCGATAGGTCCTGGATTCGAATCCCGTGTGCGAGATTGGGGATGTGCACCGCTGAGGAGTCCCACAATAGGACGAAACGACCGTCCAGTGCTTCCAGGTTTTCGAGGGTAGTCTAGCCTAAATTGACTCATGAATTCAACTATTAAATTACTACAAGTTCCACAAACCCTCATTGTGATAAAATTATTTGGTTCCAAACCAATATACCACGAAAATGATCTTACTCGTTTAAGCCAAAGTTCTTTTATTCAGTACCTGATATGCTTATTTCATCAAAAAAATACTAACTTATGACAATCGCGTAGTATTCTTTTAAGTTTTGATATTCGATTATAAGCATTTTACCATACAGTTGGGTGACTTCATCAATAATCATTTTGCTTCGGTGAAAAACGCACATATAAGCACCAAGGCTTGGAATATGAGAAATAATTGTAGTTTTAATCTTTAGCTACAAAATTTCCCTACAACGCAAAGCTAACAAAAGCTTGATAAATCCATAGTACAGGAATTTTAAATCAGATACTAGGTAAACCTTAGAATTAACCATACAGCTCTATGAAAATCCTCCCAGTTTTATCCAAGTAACAGTCATAAACCATACACAACGAAAATTGAGCCCTAGATTGATTTACAGAAATGTCTTCATGAGATTCTCTGCATTGACAAGTGCCCAACCTATACTTTACAGGCCACAATTAAGACATTCTGTGCAAAAGACGTAGCAACAGGTATGCGAAACGAGTAACAAGTGATACTAATTCTCTAATCCCTTTACACTATTGAAAATGGATCTATTCAAACGAGTACGACACCTCAAGTAGATAAGACTGATTTGTGCAACAGTCCTACGTTCTATCTTCAGAGGTATACAGTCTGGTCGATCAACTTTTTGGTTTTATTTTTTGCTTCGAGTATTAACAAATCTCTGAAGGAAAAACAGTGGTACCCATTTACAACACTTTGAAGATTGTTTTCGTGTTCCATCCCGAGTGAAAATATAGATGTTTATGATATGTTATAATATTTTTAGGAAAAAGAGAACTATGTCGCATCTCTAATGATGCGTTATTACTAACTTTGCAATAAATACACGCAAATTAATATACCTATTGCCTCCAAATGCCCTGGTACGGCCGAGAGTGGGGAGAGTCCACTATCCCTCTCGAAATGCTCTCACATGGCCACGCGTATATAGCCTCTGACAGGGAAGTCCTACTCACTGCCTTCTCGTGGCGGGGGTGTTGTTCACGGAATTGAGAGGACGAAAAGCGAATGTCCGGCGCTTTAAACGGGTTGCTGGACACCGAAAGTTCACCTAGGGGAGTTGGAAAATCCTGATTCCAAACCAATGGTGCACATGGGCTCCAGTATCCTGAGGGGACAAATGGCGTATGAATCAATCGTTGATCACCGGCTACCATGGGACTGCATCTCCTCACGATGCTCCACTGTCTTGTGGACTGGACCTTCAGGTCAAAGGCCTGGGATGTGACCCTCTAAAAAACCACCTCTTCAGTATCACAGCCCTCATACAAATCAAATGAGATTTGTGAGGCGCATATATATCTGGTGCCTCCTTGTACCAATATTTATGTGTTCTAAATAAATAAATAAATAATAAACTATTAATATAAAATCTTATCGAATATTAGAGTATCGAAGATGAATGAAAACCAATCACGAAATAAAAATACCTGTTCAGTGGTTGAAATAGAGGACGACAATAATGAGAAGGCATTACATATTGATGAACAAGTCAATTTCTCTGATTTAATCGTCGAATCATCATTTTTATAAGGCTGACACGTGAATACTTCAAATCTTTTAGAGTATTCAGCACAAACAAGATGAAATATAGACTTGCAAGTAAAACATCTATTAGCATTGCACCTTGGTGTCACTATATAATCATTACATAAATTGCATATTAGCGGATAACTCACAGAAACATTAACAAATTGATGACACCGGTAGGATAACGCTGGGAACAAAAAGAATATTTTTAAAAACGAAATAATGTTATGGATAAGGAGGAAAGAAAGGTCATAATAACAAATCCCAGCATTCTATCTGACCACACTTTTTTAACTTTGAGTTTTAGGAATGCTTTGATCCATAAAAAAAAATACTGATTTACTAGTTTTGGGTTTTAATCTTGCTTTTATTTTCCATCCTTCGCTTTTCGGTTTCTTTTAGTGCATAATATTATACTACTTATTAATATTTAGGAACTAATATCGCTATCAATCATTTTTGAATAGAAATAAAGAGAATTCAGCAAAACTATTTTTCGACGAAATCCTTTACTCAAGTTGTACGTTCGTATCTATGATTGTTCGGTAAATATATAAGTCTATGGAAGGAAAAGAAAGATTCCATCAAGACGTGATTCGAGATTTCAAATAACAAATGAGGTTGCGTAATAGTCAGGGTTTAGAGAATAGGATGCAAATAATTAACGGGTTAGAACACTGTTTAGTGTCCCTTTGTTGATGTGAGATATTTACATGAATCTGGAGTTTAATTTATTTATCAGTGTAAATGTGTTCTCCTAAAATTTTAAAAAGTTCTTTACTTCGTATGAATTCATTGAGCTACTTTTTATTTGCAATAATTTACATAAATAACATGTATAGTTATCGTTTCGATTTGGTGATTGCTATTGTTGGACTGATATAACTAAATGACGTTGCTTAGTTTGTCGTATGTTTTTGTAAACAATCATTACACAATTATTGCAGGAGGCACCGCTTATTTTATGGTATTTTGACGTGCGTGAACTCATTGAATACCTCAAAAAGCGAGATTTGTAAAATACATTATTTATGTGGTCATCAATAATAAATATCACGGACTGTAAGCGAAATATTGAGACAATAATAAATTGTAATATGATTCAACACAATTTATCAGTTAACATGCATATAAAATCACATAACAAGAACTGGTTAAAAGGTGAAATTCTAACTTAACTTACTTGGTACGGATACATTACACTGTTGAGGTAAAATATCTTGGGAAGAAACCGACAAATTCGTACATGAATGAGAATACGAACTATATGGTATACTGAGTAACGAGGATGGGGAAGATAAATTGAGTAAACGTTTACACCTTGGAGGTATAACTGGTTGTGATGAGCTTTGTGGATCAACATTTGTAGCTTTTATACTCTGTGAATTTGGTAAAAAGTGGGTAGAAGCAATCCGATCGGTGCTTTTGCTTCTCAGTTGAAGTGATCCGAATTCACGTATATCTACACAATATGCCGGGAAATATCCTTTATGTTTTGTTGTTTCATTAAGTCCATATAAAAAAGAGGTCGGTGCCGTAGCTTAAACAAGAAATGATGCGTACAAAAAAAATAGTAAATGGGATATATGTATATATAAGAATATAAAATTATACAGTGGATTATAACTAAGTACTAGACACAATCAAAATTGACTGAATCTATATTAATCGCCTCGATGAAGTGTATATAATTAAAAGTCTCCAAAATAGTTTTTAAAATTAAATGTTACAAAAACCTGTAGCAGAATGGCATCCTTTTTGAGCTAACTACAAAGTTTTGTATTACTGAAAAATGCCAAGACTGTCAATAACGGATACATAAAACTTTTGGACACATCAACTATCCAACCATTAAAACAAATATCTTTTAAAATATTTAAGACTACTGTACTTCACCTTTTAACACTCAGTCTAATACTACTTAAAAATAAAAACATAAGATAAAAAGATTGTAAGTTTGAAATATAACAAATGCAGTCCGTTTCTCTGTCAATAATAATAATAATAATAATAACAATAATAATAATAATAATAATAATAATAATAATAATAATAATAATAACTGATTAAAACTGATGAACCAAAACAAAACGTAAATTCAGTTCACTAACCATTTTGTGGTCGACATTCAACCACTAGAATATCACCAGGTATAACATCGAGATACTCCTCTCCTGAGAGAGGAGTTCGACGAAACGTCGAAATGCAAGTATATCTTCCTGGATGTATATCATAGGTAAAATATGGGCGGCTTTGTGTCATAAAATATTACCTTGTTTTTTATGTACCAATACGCAAATGACAAACTGAAACAAGTTATTAAAAATAGTAGGTAGAATCGGTAACACTTATATGATCACGCACAAAAAATCAGAAGACATAAAACACAGTCTCTATTATTTATTAACTAATTTGTAACAATCGAAAGTAAACATATGGTCACAAATTTAAAAGTGCTAGATTATTATACATGCTTCTCCAGCTCTTCTTCTTGTTGTCTTGCACCTTTATACATCCATCGTTGATTAAGAGATACATATGGTGATGGATTGTACTCGCCGACTACTGGAACATGCCAGTCAGGATGCTGTAGTCTGAACTCCACACTATATTTACCCAAAGCTGATATTATTGCAAATCCGATACATGTAGTAGCACGTATCGTCATAGAACCTATAAAAGAAACATGTGAGAACGATCATAACATAAGTGGTTATGGTTATATGCATAAAATTTGAAAACAGCAGATCATTGTATCCAAACAAGTGCAGATAATAAATTTAACTTTGTTCATCATTTATTGTAATTAAAAATTTAACGTGAACATTTTCGAAGAGTATATTTTTATGAATAGCATATTATCACGTACAAACACAGGCTTATGCATTCTACTCAAAAAAACACTTATTAAAAAAAGACATAAGTCATGTTCGTAGTCGTTCAAAGGATAATATCCATCATAACTGAGATATTTTCTGAATTAGGTAAGAAATTGTTGTACCTGATCCAATTATTAAAAAATGTGAATACCTTAAAACGTTATTCATTCAAAGTTTTTGACAAAAATCCACATGTTCAGAATATACTACACATTTCCAGTGGATACCTTTCATTACTCATAAACGAAGTTAGCTGAAAAGCATTCAAACAATAAATCAACCCAAGACAATGTAAATTATTCTGAAACCACAACAATGAATTCAGTACACAAACGTTTTAAAACACCTATCGATGCTATGACTGAATATCATATTATGTCACCATTTCGTGCTAGTGAACAATGCAATGTTATTAGATTAATTTAATGACTTATGTGGGGACATAAACACAGATTCTAACGCCAAAACATGTACGTTAAGCACCACAGTAAACAAGTCAACAAATTTATTCCAAGTGGTTCCCGCTTATTTGTTTGATGTAGTTGAACTGATGTACATACGTACGAAGTTCTACGTTGTGACTGACTGACTGAATCTAACAAAATATTTTCTAGAGAGTATATGATAATATCTTTAAGTAGTAGCAGTCTATAAGCATAAACCGAAAACATCACTGTGAATGGTTAACAACTATAATACAGTTTCATAAACTCCAAACCTTGAAGTGAATCTAGTTATTGTGACAAACCTCATGACATCTGAAAGTAACATAACCATAGTCTCATGAGATAGTAAAAAGAACAAGTCACCTTAAACACATACATTGCATAGAATAGTTATTTATTGATTACGAACTAAATGCTTCCTCCACATGAATTTATAGGTACTTGCTTACAAGGACAAGCAGTAGAAGAAAAAGGATAACGATTGAATATATTTACTTAACTATTTTCAAGCACCTAACTGAAATTTACGTCTTCATAAATTAAAAACACTTAATGGCCACATCAATCTCTTTTCAGTGTCTGAAGTTGTTGCAACAGAGGTCTTTACGATAATATCATGGCGAAAACATCAGTAGATCATTAAATCGCTGAGCATTTTCCAAACAGTAAGTAATGCTGCACTGACTTTGTACAGTGATTTACCTAGAAGAGGAAAAGCAGGATTCGCATGTTTGTACTTAATATCTACTTATATTCTACAACGCAAATTACCTGTGTTTAATATTAGATTTCTAATTTTATCCAGTATCATTTTTAATTGCGTAGTTATTTACAACTAGTAACACTGAAAAAATCTCTCTTAAATTTAACAAGTGTAAAACAAACTACATGGAGGTTACTATCTCCGGTTAGTAGTCGGATTTGTTTGTCAAGATGTATTGGGTATTACTTTAGCTAAAAACCCTTCACTATCCCAGGAAGTCCGGACAGAAAGTTGCATAGGCAAAAATAGTTTCCACGTGCAATTAAACACAATGATTGAATTTTGATGGTACATGTTGCTGGCTTAAACGGAATAAAATAGTAGTAACATCTTTGTAAGCATCTCCAGTTATGCTGCATTCTTAAGCCTAGAAGAGATAATTAAATATCTGCTACATGGAGTACTAGTGTCGTAAGATTTTAAAGGTGTAGACTTCACATGACAAAATTAAAAATATTTCTGATGACATAGGACTAGTCCTAAATAGTTATAATTCTGACTGCCCAGTAAAACTCTTGAGACAATGAGACAGAAATAGTGTAAACACACCTCGAACCATTACTGCTTTCTAAAAATGTGTATGAGGTACGAGAAAAGTTTCTTCGTAAAACGGTTGGATATGTAATTAACTAGATCAATAAGATTGAAAATATTCGACTAAAGTTCGGGTTACTAGTCATACTTAAGCTTTGTCTATCTGGTTGAAAAGAAAATGATTAATGTGATACCCCACTTGTATGTGAAGGGTGAGAAGTGTAAGGGGATTAAATGATGTTTTCATGTATACACCTGGTTTCAAAACTTTGATCGTCATGGTCTTTATTGTCCTTGATAAGTGGAAATGAATTTAGATGGAGAATTCCGTTGACATTATATATTATAGTGCGAACTAAGCTTTATTAGTCTTATCCTTTCTATTCAGTAAATGAAAAAGTGCTGAACTTTTAGAAAACGGACAGTATTTGATAAAGCGGTAATATCTCTTCCAGGTCGTTTCGGCTATGTGCTCGATTCCAAAGAGCCAGTTAAATTCATGCATACGTATAGAAGTATCTGAACTCAAAATTCTTTTTTACTTGCATTGAAAGGGAAAACATGTGGTAGAAAATACAATGTACACGCCACCGGTAAACTTCCTTAGTTCTATAGTTACCAGTTCTAAAGCTCCATCTTCTTCACGAATCATTACCAGATACAATAGCGCATTTTCTATACTCCTATATTTTTATATGGGCTTAGAAATTTAAGAGTTGTTTTTAAGCTTTTCATTTTCCCTTAAATAAATGTACAAAATAGTATGTTACAAATGCAAACAAGACTCACGATTCCATGTACAGATTAAACCACTAGCAGCTCCCCCGAGTGCGTGATTCACCCAGCTATCGGATCGGCCTGTAGCTTTTGCTGATATAAAGGAAACAGACGAGTGACATATTGCAGCAGCCGCTAAAACAAGAGGACATTAATGAAAGAAATACTTACTTCCAGTGACTACGTATCTAATACACTGTAGTCCCGTACTATTTAGACTCAAACCCAATTCATGCGCTTTGGCATATTCGAGCACAGACGCTATCAAACCTGAAGTGATAAAGTAAACGACAAGTTTAAAATGATAAGTAATCTTGGTTGAGCCATAATACCTTTCTGCTAACTTTTAGATGAAAAGCACTGTTAATTAAGATTTATTTTTTCCATGCAATTGTCTCTTCGTCCCTTATTTCTGTGATTCTGTAAGTTTTACGATGGGTTGAATGACCATTTAAGCTATATATTTTAACTAGCAACAGTTTCGTAGGAATTAATAACTTCCGGCCTAGTAAATTGCAAAGTTCATCCGAAATTTATTACTTTAGTCAGCTGTCAAACACATTCGATTGTCCCCACTCGTCTTCTTCTTCACTACCGTAGTATCGAATATTACATTTGACTACAGCTTTCAGAAAAAGATCATTTAGTGATTAAATAATATTCAAACAGGAAATAACATCTGTGAATGAAATTAAGATTAAAATAACAGCACGAAGAAATATAAACCACGTGAAAATAAAACAATGAGATGTGGGGTGATATTAACTTATAAAGCGTGAAATATTATCATCTGAGCCCATTGTAGGGTAAGGTAATTAACTCTCTTTATTGGTGTGGAAATCATATAACCAACAGCCAGTCAGCTACAACGTAGGACAAGGCGCATATGCATCGGTCCAAGTTGCCATACCTCATTAGCATGACAAGGTGAACACCAAATTCATAGTAGTTAATTTAATGGTGGTAATAAATAAAAGAAAGATTGTGTATAAGGATATAAAACAGGAAGAAAATAATTAGTTCGTAGAAAGAAAGATAAAAAGTAATTTTAATCTCACGGTTTAAAGGAAGATAAAGAGTGTATACACTTACGCCATTGTGATCGATTCTGAGCCATGTCACCCAGAGTCTCCAACCATTGGTTACGATAGTCACGCGGACCCCAACCAGGTAGTCTGCATCTGCCAACATGGCTCAGACTAGAAGTTAGTGACTTCAAGCACTGATGTCACGTCTTGGTTTGGCCGCCCCTGACTCTCTTCCAACCATCCCCTACACTATTCAGCATAGCGCGTCGTGGCAATCGGTGTTCAGGCATACGTAACACGTGGCCCAACCATCTCAATCGATGAAAATTTATGACCTCATCCAATGGTTTACAATTATTTCCTACTACCATGCATCGAAGCTCACTAGTACTTACCTGGTGATCCCAGACGCCAGTAATATTTCTAAGATATCTGTGATCAAATACTAGTGATTTCCGAACATCTTTTACCCCTAATGACTACATTTCGCAGCGGTAAAGTAGAACAGAACGAACTGCTGCACAGTATACTCGTCCTTTAATCGATAAACGGATATCTCGTCATCGCCATAGGTGACATAAGTTGGAAAAAGCCAAACGAGCTTATCGAATCCGTGCCGAGATTTCGTCAGACACCAACCCATTAGGACTGATCAGACTTCCAAGATAAGTGAAGTTGTCAACGCGTTCGACTACTTCACTCCCTATCCTTAGTTCAGGTGTTGACGCAGGCCAGTCCTGGAGTAACAATTTACATTTGGATGGGGAGAAACGCATCCCAAACATCCTGGCATTATTACTCAGTTCCAACAGAAGACTCTGCATTTTGTCAGTGTCTTCACCAAACAGGACTGTCATCTGCGTATTCTAAGTCGATAAGTGAACCTCCTGGTAGAAGATCAATTCCAGAAAATTCAGTCGACGAGAGTGTTATTTCCAACAACAGATCTATAATGAAGTTAAACAAAAATGGGGATAGTGGACAGCCTTGCTGGACACAACTTGAGGTTGCAAAATCAGATGACAGTTCGCCATAAGCTCTCACTCGACTGGTAGTGTTCGAGTAAAGAGCCTTCACAAGGTTTATGTACTTCTCAGGTACACCTTTCAATGACAGACACTGCCACAGAACCTCTCGGTCTACAGAGTCAAATGCTGCTTTCAAGTCAAGAAAAACTATCATTGTCGGACGCCGATAAGTATGTCTGTGCTCTAAAACTTGACGAATGGTGAATATGTGGTCGATACAGCCACGACCAGGTCTGAAGCCAGCCTGATTTTCTCGTGTTTGCAGTTCACGAGTCTTAGGCGCCCGATAATTATTCAGGCTAGTATTTTAGATACTATGTTAGTCAGGCTAATCCCTCTATGGTTATCACAGGATGATTTTGACCCCTTTTATATATTGGGACAATCAGTGATTGTGACCAGTCAGATGGGATTACGTCCGTCTCCCAGATTTTAGCCAGAATATTAGTCAACCTAATCGCTAAAATTGGACCACCATATTTAAAGACCTCTGGAGCCAATCCATGTGGACCAGCTGCTCTTCCTCGTTTCAGATTACTTATAGCCTTTTGAACTTCAAGTAGGGTCGGGGGGCCTACTTCAATCTTCCAACCAGGTTTTCTGGGAATAGTGGGTAGTTGTGCAGTAGCTGGAGGCCAGCTAAACTGCTCCTTAAAGTATTCCGCCCATCGTTCTAAACGTTTGGGTTGAGACCAGATAAGGGTTTCGTCTTTTTCCGAGATTGTCTCACTTACACTTGACTTCTTAATTCCGGTTTCTTTTATTAGTCTGAAGAGTTGCCTGGTGTTGCCTACAGCCACCGCCTTTTCCATCTCTTTTGCTTTCGTTGCCCACCACTGCTCACGATCGTTCCTTAGACTTCTGGTTAGCCTAGATCTAATTTGTTTACGCTCTTCGTCGTGTTTAGAGACTGATGGGATGAATTTACGCGAATCCATCAGTGAAATAGACTTAGAAGAAATCCACTGGATTTTTGGAACCCTATGGTTTAAATAACTAATAGATGTTACTGCTGTTTCCACAGCTGTTCGTGTGTCTTTCCAAGCAGCATCTGGGTCAGTCTCGTTTACAGAACTGCCTAGATGTGAACTCAGTTGTTTCTGGAATTCGCATTTGGCTTTCTCGTCCTCCAGTTCAATCCTAATGGGTCTTCTTAGTGTAGTTTTCCTGCGTCCAGTGAGGCGCAGACAAATGCGCGCTCGTATTAAAGCGTGATCAGAGTCTAAACAAGTATTCCAATACGAGCGACAATCTTCTATTGAGCCTCTCCAACGATGACTGATGACAATATGGTCTATTTGGGTCCATCGTTGGTTTTGTGCAGGTGGTCGCCATGTTAGACGATGTCTCTCCTTATGCTTAAAATTAGTGCTTGCTAAAAATAAACGATTGTCTGAGAATAGTTGCAACAGACGATCACCATTATCGGTTCGTTCAGCCGGAATACTAAAACACCCACCTAAATGTCTTTCTGTTTGATTTAAGCTGCCTACCTGGGCATTAAAGTCACCCGCTACGACTACTATGTCCGAGCGCTTAGCTTTCTGAAGAAGCTCAGAGAGTTTTCTGTAAAAGTAATCTTTTACTTCATCATGGCTGCAGTCAGTGGGAGCGTAGGCAGAAACGACGAAAAGGCAACGACGTGTGTCCCTATCCTTCCGAGCTCTTACGGAGCCATTTAGCCGGACAGCACACAGGCGACTGTTAAAGGGGATGCATTCTAGTAGTGCCTGTTCTGCCCTTGTACTTAGTGCTATGCCTACACCTGCAAGCCCACGAGAACTAGCCAACGGGTCGCCAGATACACGGAGGGTGTATCTCGTTGGCTGTCCATTTTGGCAAGGTGAGGTCAAGTGAATGACCACACTAGGATCCTGTATGCGTGTTTCGGAGACGCAGCATACGTCGATGGTACGAGATTCTAGGGTCTTAGCCAAGGAGGCCTGTTGACCGATTCGACTTAGGGCACGTACGTTGAAGGCTCCAATGTGTAGTTTGGAGCGAGGTTTTAGTAGACCTGGGACAGCGTTTCGCGCACTAGAATCGTTGGCCATGGTGACACTTGAGGAGGAAACCGGAACAGGAAGTTTAGTTTTGGAAGTTGAGGTAGAAGGAATAATGGAAATTGAAGAAGGAGATTGATTATATATACAGTGGTCTTGAGTGCTGTTAGAGGTATGAGACCAGTTATCACTTCCCGGTTGCCCACACCGTGGAAGGGTTCTTCTAGGGGTACCTGAAAAGGAAATTGGGTTAGAAGTGGTCTTAATGACCTGAGAGCGTGACCGCAGTGCCCAAGGGACAACTGCTTGAGGTCGGTCACACACGACCTTTTTGTGGGTAGTTTTTGTGTTAGCTCCGTTCTTCAAAGGACCTTACCTCCGGAGACAGATATCCTTGGGATAAGGCGAGGTGTGCATTTCTAGGGTCGACCTTTTCTAACACCACCCCTTGTGGGAAGGCAGCATCGCTGTCATGCTGGTTGTCTGAAGGAAACACCTTACTGCTGTCACACCTCTGTACAGTCGGCAGTACGACTTCGCCTTCGGACCTTGGGTTTGCTGCTTTTATTCTCTCCGCTCTTCCCTAATATCATGCATCGAAGCTCACTAGTACTTACCTGGTGATCCCAGACGCCAGTAATATTTCTAAGATATCTGTGATCAAATACTAGTGATTTCCGAACATCTTTTACCCCTAATGACTACATTTCGCAGCGGTAAAGTAGAACAGAACGAACTGCTGCACAGTATACTCGTCCTTTAATCGATAAACGGATATCTCGTCATCGCCATAGGTGACATAAGTTGGAAAAAGCCAAACGAGCTTATCGAATCCGTGCCGAGATTTCGTCAGACACCAACCCATTAGGACTGATCAGACTTCCAAGATAAGTGAAGTTGTCAACGCGTTCGACTACTTCACTCCCTATCCTTAGTTCAGGTGTTGACGCAGGCCAGTCCTGGAGTAACAATTTACATTTGGATGGGGAGAAACGCATCCCAAACATCCTGGCATTATTACTCAGTTCCAACAGAAGACTCTGCATTTTGTCAGTGTCTTCACCAAACAGGACTGTCATCTGCGTATTCTAAGTCGATAAGTGAACCTCCTGGTAGAAGATCAATTCCAGAAAATTCAGTCGACGAGAGTGTTATTTCCAACAACAGATCTATAATGAAGTTAAACAAAAATGGGGATAGTGGACAGCCTT